ATTTACTATACTATTATAATATACATGTTACATTTGAGTACTATACATTTATTCAGTTTATAACCTCTCAAACAGAGTTTCTATTTATTATAAACATTAATAGAACTTTAGTACACATTATAAGTGTAGAAAATGCTTTTATATTATATTATATAGTAGACACAAGTCTTTTTCTTTAAGTAAAATACTATAATAAAGTATTTACTCTCAATATATTTTTGTTAAAATATATTTACTCAATATATAAAGCTATTATAATACATATACTGTATTATATTCATTAATAATACTTTTAGAACCTTTATAAGAGTATATAAGACTTGTTTTACTTTATAATAGAGTTAAATACTTATAATTACAATAAAACAGATAAATAATGTGTATTTTATTATATAAGATCTATAAAGCTATATAAGAAAATGGACTTTTCCCTAATACTATGTGTGTTTGTTAACAGTGTCTATTATTTGTACTATTATAATATTAATAGTAGATGAGTAGTGTTTGCTTTCTCAATCCTTATAATGTTTGTCTGTAGTATAATCAGTTATTTATAAAAACAATGTTTTCTATAATATTACAGAATATTTTAGTGATTAAATGTTATAGTAAGTAATACTCATTATAGTTTTAACACTACTTATATAGATTAAGTTATTACTAGACTAATAATTATAATTACTAAGATGACAATCATATTGTTACAGTTCTCTACTCTTGTACCTTCAGTTCTAAGGGTTCTACACTCTTCTGTACTAGAACTCAGGACTTCTGTCCCTTAGAGGCACTGTTTATAAACTATATGTATACTAACTCTTACTACTACTCTTCCTTACTTTATTATTCTATTCCTTTGACTACCCCTTCTTTCTTTGTTCATTCTATAGTCTCTTACTCTTTGTTTATCCCTTCATTCTTTGTACCTTTATCTTTAACCTTCCTTTCTTTTATTCTTTATAGTTTATCATTCTTAATAGCTTATACTCTCTGAGTACTCTTGTATAGTTTAGTATATATAAGTGTACAAGATTAGACTAGTCCTGTAGTCTTGATCTTGTCTACTCTAAGTAGTCCTGTACTCTTAGACTTACTCTATATACTCTACTCTTGTCTCACTCTCTCTCTCTGCCTGTTCTACAAGTTCTAACTATAATCTAGTACTTGTATTCTGTATTTCTATTATATAAAATAGTTGTAGTCTGAGTCTCTTTACTAAGCTTTTGAGTCCCCTCTATACTGTTACTAACATTAGATTAAGACTCCTTATTACTACTCTATAACTCTCCTACATTTTAGGTATTAGTACTTACTATTATATTAATCTCTTTTCTTTGTTCTAACTCTTTTACATTTTTAAATTTTAAACTTTCTAAACCCTTTTAAACTTTTACTACTCTTCTTCTATTTACTACCCCTTTTAGTTTAGTACTGATTCCTTTGTAGTATAAACATAGACTCTCTTATACTAACTGTCACTCCTACTATTCTGTCAGATTAGTAGTTACAAGCAGATCTAGCTTAATATATATAAACCTCTATTTAAGAGGCTTTTACTAACTATATTATTACAATTCTCTACTCTTGTATCTTTAGTTCTAAGGGTTCTACACCCTTCTGTACTAGAACTCAGGACTTCCATCCCTCAGGAGTACTGTCTATAAACTATATGTGTACTAACTCTTACTACTACCCTTCCTTACTTTATCATTCCATTCCTTTAACTACCCCTTTCTTTCATTCTTTGTAGCTTATCATTCTTAGTAGTTTATACTCTTAAAGTGCTCTTGTATAGTTTAGTATATATAAGTGTACAAGATCAGACTAGTTCTGTAGTCTTGATCTTGTTTACTCTAGATAGTCCTGTACTCTTAGGCTCACTCTATATACTCTACTCTTGTCTCTCTCTCTCTCTCTCTGTCTGTTCTGTAAGTTCTAACTATGTTCTAGTGTTTGTATTCTGTATTTCTGTTGTGTAGGATAGTTGTAGCCTAGGTCCTCTTGCTAAACCTTTGAGTCCCCTCTACACTGTTACTAACATTAGATCAAGACTCCCTATTACTACCCTACAACTCTCCTACATTTTAGACATTAGTACTTACTATTGTGTTAATCTCTTTCCTTTGTTCTAACCCTTTTACATTTTTAAATTTTAAACTTTCTAAACCCTTTTAAACTTTTGCCACCCTTCTTCTATTTATTACCCCTTTTAGTTTAGTGTTAATTCCTTTATAGTATAAACATAGACTCTCCTACACTAACTGTTACCCTTACTGTTCTACCAGATTAGTAGTTATGAGCAGAACTAGCTTAATATGTATAGACCTCTATCTAAGAGGCCTTTACTAACTATATACTCTCAGCCTCTTCAGAACCTGTTCTAGTTGTTCTAGAAGTTATAACTTGTTCTAGAAAGAAAGTGTATATAGTCTACCCTTCAGACTTTAATAAATAGTACTTTAAGGACTTCTAGCACTAAGTCAAACTATATGTAGCTACTACTTTAACTAATCTATTCTCAAATCTTAATCATGTCCTATTTGTCCTCTCCTTTATAAAGGAAGGCAACACAGCCACCTAGGCCTAGAACTAGATCAAAGGCTATTAGATTAGAAGTCTGATCTGACTTTAGAATAATGAGTCATATTCAGAATTCATAAGACAGCTCTGTACTTCCTTTATTAATCTGAATAAGAAGTATAATGTACA